AGAAGGATATTAAATGAACGAGTGGTTATCCACTTGTCTATGGTTGCATTAAGATGTGTACTGCTCGTGAAAGCTAGTAATTCAAACGTGAGTAGAAGGAAATTAGATCTGAGCTTACCACAGCGACGTATGTCCTCTCATCATGAAACACGCCTTGTACTTCTAGGTACATGATGTTTGTAGGATTGGTGGCCTAGTACAGGAGTGAGCAACCCTTTTAAGAGTGAGTGCCAAAGTCGGCCATATTTTTGATAAAAATCTCTGGAAACATATGGGGAGTATTTCCCCGCTTTTCTTGGAACGGATATGTGATAAATGTCGCATTTTTTTTTTAAATGAAACCAGAGGTTAGGGTGCCGGAAAGAATCCTTTGGCGTGCCAGGTTTGGCACGCGTGCTAAGGGATGCTCACTCCTGGCCTAGCGTCTTCATTCAAGAAGACCCAAATGATATCGCAGTAGTAATTACTGTATATAGGACCAAGGAAAAAACATTTAAGTAACATTACAGTCACAGGGTCATGGTTATAAAGAAGTAGACTGATTAAGGTTAAACAAGTGCCAGGATCCGTTTCAAGAATACTTTAAGATGTACTTTAAGAGGAAAATAATGGCGTTGGCAGCAGAGAATCATTGTAATTAATAAAAAATTTCACCCAAAGCTGAGTTTCATGCAACATACGAAATGTTTAAATGTATTCTCTGCTACCAGTTTCCTTATTTATACCTATCGGCTTATGCCCTTGTCTTCCGGTATTTAAAGAATGCAAGTGAGCCGATAATCAACGTCTTCATTGTATCATTGCAAACAAGTGTCATGCTGGTCATGTGAAAGATAACTAATGCGGTTTTCATCTCCAAATCTGTATGTAAATCGAAATGATTTAAATAACCTCGTAATAAACCTGACTTCAATAGTAGGCAAATTATAAGAATCACTATTTCCGATATATTAAAAGCTCATATTCATGAGTATAATTTGATGATAATTAAATGTATATTAATACTAATATTTGTATGTTTTAAACACAGAAATTTCGGTTATTGGAAAATATTTACACAGTCGCTTGAACGACAGGCTTTTTCAAGTCATGAATTGTAGCTGGGGAGAAATGCAAACTTGGTAGTCGGTCTCATTGAAAAACATCGTTCAATTGAACTCCTCCCTGGTTCAGCACGATGGTATTCAATGTTGAAATGAGAGCATTTTCTTAGCATTTTCTCATAAAATTTTCGTCTTCACTAATACCC